ATACACCACTCATCATACACCACTCATCATACACCACTCATCATACATCACTCATCATACACCACTCATCATACACTACTCATCATACACCACTCATCATACACGACTCATCACACACCACTCATCATACACCACTCATCATACACCGCTCATCATACACCACTCATCATACACCACTCATCATACACCACTCATCACACACCACTCATCATACACCACTCATCATACACCACTCATCATACACCACTCATCATACACCACTCATCATACACCACTCATCATACACCGCTCATACACCAGCTCAAGCTCGTGGCAGGTGCAGCACTTTGTGAACCTCCATGTGCAGATGTCGTGGCAGGTGCAGCACTTTGGGAACCTCCATGTGCAGATTTCGTGGCAGGTGCAGCACTTTGTGCACCTCCATGTGCAGATTTCGTGGCAGGCGCAATACAAACTGCGTTGTGGAGAGATAGCGAACGCACGAAATGCTGTATTTTTCAATGGAACCGGTGGCTCCGAAGCTGGCAAGTCAAGGTTTGCGGAACGACGGGTGCGAGACGGTCTCGGGTCATTCTCGGATCATGCTCGGAATCGTCCGTCCATTGGGATTAGAGTTTTCACTTGTTTCTTTCTTGAAGTGCAGATTTCGTGGCAGGTGCAGCACTTTGTGAACCTCCATGTGCAAATTTCGTGGCAGGTGCAGCACTTTGTGAACCTCCATGTGCAGATGTCGTGGCAGGTGCAGCACTTTGGGAACCTCCATGTGCAGATTTCGTGGCAGGTGCAGCACTTTGGGAACCTCCACGTGCAGATTTCGTGGCAGGTGCAGCACTTTGTGCACCTCCATGCGCAGATTTCGTGGTAGGTGCAGCACTTTGTGAACCTCCATGTGCAGATTTCGTGGCAGGCACAGCACTTTGTGCACCTCCATGTGCAGATTTCGTGGCAGGCGCAATACAAACTGCGTTGTGGAGAGATAGCGAACGCGCGAAATGCTGTATTTTTCAATGGAACTGGTGGCTCCGAAGCTGGCAAGTCAAGGTTTGCGGAACGACGGGTGCGAGACGGTCTCGGGTCATTCTCGGATCATGCTCGGATCATGCTCAGATCATGCTCGGATCATGCTCGGAATCGTCCGTCCATTGGGATTAGAGTTTTCACTTGTTTCTTGAAGTGCAGATTTCGTGGCAGGTGCAGCACTTTGTGAACATCCATGTGCAGATTTCGTGGCAGGTGCAGCACTTTGAGAACCTCCATGTGCAGATTTCGTGGCAGGTGCAGCACTTTGGGAACCTCCATGTGCAGATTTCGTGGCAGGTGTAGCACTTTGTGCACCTCCATGTGCAGATTTCGTGGTAGGTGCAGCACTTTGTGAACCTCCATGGGCAGATTTCGTGGCAGGCACAGCATCTGGCGAGCTGGAAGCTGAGAACTGGCGACTTTGTAGTACAACTTTAGTACGCGGAGCAATCTGTGAGCTGGAAGCTGAGAACTGGCGACTTTGTAGTACAACTTTAGTACGCGGAGTATCTGGCGAGCTGGACGATGAGAACTGGCGACTTTGTAGTACAACTTTAGTACGCGGAGTATCTGTGGAGCTGGAAGCTGAGTACAACTTTAGTACGCGGAGCAACCTGTGCAGCTAGAAGCTGAGAACTGGCGACTTTGTAGTGCAACTTTAGTACGCGGAGTATCTGTGGAGCTGGAAGCTGAGAACTGGCGACTTTCCAGTACAACTTTAGTACGCGGAGCAATCTGTAGAGCTGGAAGCTGAGAACTGGCGACTTTCTAGTACAACTCTAGTACGCGGAGCAATCTGTAGAGCTGGAAGCTGAGAACTAGCGACTTTCTAGTACAACTTCAGTACGCGGAGCAATCTGTGCAGCTAGAAGCTGAGAACTGGCGACTTCGTAGTACAACTTTAATACACGGAGTATCTGGCGAGCTGGACGAGGAGAACTGGCGACTTTGTAGTACAACTTTACTACGCGGAGTATCTGTGGAGCTGGATGGTGAGAACTGGCGACTTTCT